TGCCTGTTGTGGTTGGTCTTCCTCCTCCTCCTCAAAGCCACATTCCTCCACTGACTCCTCTTCCTCACAATCCTCTTCCAGCGTTGCCGCAGATCCAGCAAGTGATGCTGACAAGGCTGGTTCTGGTGGTGATGGTGACCACAACTCTTCCTCTTCACGCTCATCTATGGCCTGATCCAGCACTCTTCGCAGGGAACGCTGAAGGAAGAAAACAAATGGTATGATGTCGCTGATGGTGCCTTCGGTGCGACTGACTAGGTTTGTCACCTCCTCAAAAGGACGCATGAGCCTACAGGCATTGCGCATGAGTGTCCAGTAACGTGGCAAAAAAATTCCCAGCTCCCCAGAGGCTGTCCTAGCACCCCGGTCATACAAATATTCATTAATGGCTTTTTCTTGTTGGAGCAGGCGGTCGAACATTAGGAGTGTTGAATTCCAATGTGTCGGGCTGTCGCAAATCAAGCGCCTCACTGGCATGTTGCTTCGCCGCTGGATATCGGCAAAGTGCGCCATGGCCGTGTAGGAACGCCTGAAATGGCCACACACCTTCCTGGCCTGCTTCAGGACGTCCTGTAAGCCTTGTACTTATACACAAAGCGTTGTACGATCAGATTACACACAAGGAGTGCTTGTCCGGTGTGACTCTCTGCTTTCAAGCAAGTCAAACCCAAGACGGCGTGACACTGCCATATCCGGGATGTGGAAGAGTACCTGGGGACCTGGGGGGGGTGCTGTTGATGTGGAGCAAGACGCAGCAGCAGAAGAGGACTCAGCTGTGGAGGTTATGGAGTAGGAGGAGTAGAGGAGGTGGCAGCAGGCCTGCCTGCAAGTCGTGGCGGTGTCACCAACTCCTCTGCAGAGCCACGCATTCCATGCTTGGCAGCCGTCAGCAGGTTTACCCAATGCACAGTGTAGGTGATATACCTGCCCTGACCATGCTTTGCAGACCAGGTATCAGTGGTCAGATGGACCCTTGCCCCAACACTGTGTGCCAGACATGCCATTACTTCCTTTTGCACAATCGAGTACAGGTTGGGGATTGCCTTTTGTGAAAAGAAATTTCGTCCGGGTACCTTCCATTGCGGTATTCCAATCGCTACAAATTTTTTGAACGCCTCAGACTCCACCAGCTTGTATGGTAAAAGCTGGCGGGCTAATAGTACAGACAAGCCAGCTGTCAGACGCCGGGCAAGGGGGTGACTTTCTGACATTGGCTTCTTACTCTCAAACATGTCCTTGACAGACACCTGACTGTGGGCAGATGAGCAGGAACTGCTCAAGGCGAGAGACGAAGTGGCGGATGGTTGAGAGGGGGCAAGGAGGACAGCAGTGGTTGATGTGGCTGAAGATGCTGGACCAGGAGGAGGATGGCGGCTTTGAGTTTGTGTGCTGCTTGTACTCATGTGTTGATCCCATAGGCGTTTGTGATGTGCGATCATGTGCCTACGCAAAGCAGTTGTACCTAGGTGTTGGACTTCCCACGACTCAGTTTCTTTTGGCACAGGTTGCAAATGGCATCGCTGTTGTCAGAGGCAGACACACAAAAAAAATGCCACACTGCTGAACTCTGCAATGACGGCATTCTGGTGGTGGACACAGCATGCGTTGATTGGCGTGCTGTCGGGCTGACCCCGGGTGCCGATGCATGCTGTCTGACTGTGCCACTAGCTCCTTGCGACGACCTCCCCCTGCTTCCAACTCGTCTCCTCCTCCTCCCTGTCTCCCCATCTGAACTTTCGCCCTGTTCTTCTTCTTGACGAGCGGGCACCCACGTGACATCCATGGACGCATCGTCATCATCAACCGCTTCACTTGTATCTGACAACTCAGCAAAGGAAGCAGCAGCGGGTACAACATCATCATCATCATCACACCGTACATTTGTAATGCTGCCTGACTGAGACATATCCCTGTTATCTACATCCTTTCTCAATAATGGTTGCGCATCACTCATTTCTTCAAACGGATGTGTAAATAACTCCTCTAACATACCAACTGAAGCGGCTGTGGTGCTAGTGTTGGTGGTGGCAGCAGGCGGGTGAGTGGTATCTTGAGAGGTGCCCGAAGCTAAGCTGGAGGATGATGTTGCGTCAAGGTTCCGAGCGGAAGCTGTAGAAGATCGGGTGTCCTGTGACACCAGTGAGTGAAAAAAGTTTTGGGGTTTTTAAATGCACGCTATTGTGACACCAGTGAGTAAGTGGTGGCACTGGGCAAATGGGCACAGTATACGCTGCGAGCCTGACACACAGACGCTTTCAGACAACTAACTGCTATTCAATCTATAACAGTGAAAAAAGTTTTTGGGTTTTTAAATGCACGTTATTGTGACACCAGTGAGTGAGTGGTGGCACTGGGCAAGTGGGTACAGTATACGCTGCAAGCCTGACACACAGACGCTTGCAGACAACTAACTGCTATTCAATCTATTACTGTGAAATACATTTTTTTTTAAATGCAAGCTATTGTGACACCAGTGAGTGAGTGGTGGCACTGGGCAAGTGGGCACAGTATCCACTGTGAGCCTGACACAGAAGCTGGCAGGCAGGCAATTACATTACACAGAAAAAAAAAAAGCAGACTGATGTTATAGCCCTAAAAAGGGCTTTTTGGGGTGCTGTCCTTACAGCAGAGATCAAATGAGTCCTTCATGACTGTAGTGGACACTGTATACACTAACCTAGCTATCCATTTCCCTATCAAATCAATAGCAGCTACACTTTCCCTCCTCTCACTAAGCATGCAGCTTGAGAATGAATCTAAAATGGATGCTGTCCAGTAGGTGGGAGGGTCTGCTATGGAGGGAGTGCTGCTAATTGGCTGGAATGTGTCTGCTGACTGTGAGGTACAGGGTCAAAGTTTACTCAATGATGACGAATAGGGGGCGGATCGAACCGCGCATATGTTCGCCCGCCGTGGCGAACGCGAACATGTTATGTTCACCGGGAACTGTTCGCTGGCGAACCGTTCGGTGCATCACTACTGACAGGTAGTGTTACAAATTCATTATAAGTATATTTGGTGATGTTAGATTTATAACAGTGAGTAGCAATCCTAAGGAAAAGGCAACACTAAAGGTGCAGATCGAGTGATTCTCAATCTGTAAAGCAAGAGGGAAGGCGGCCAAGATGGCCACCGTTCGCGCGCAAATATCCGCAACGGACTCGCTCGTCACAGATCCGTTGCGCGAATAAACGCCCAGGCCTCCCTCCACCCATCCCCACACAGTCGCAACCAGTGCCAGTAAATGAAATATGAGAAGAACAGGTCCCCGGAGCGGGTGCGGCACGGGCAGCCGTGACGCCCGCGGGCCGTGCAAGGGAAACAAAACTGCTACAGGTAAAGCACCAGTATACCAGGGGACAGTGAGAAAACAGTCATGGATACAGTATAAGTCTAGGAGGGACAGGTATAGGAGAGCCAGGAGTATATTAGCAAGACGTATGAAAGGAAAAATGAATACAAATAGTCTGTAAAAATGAGGTTACACAGGAGAGGCAAAATACTCTGACCTGTGTAGGCTGGAGCAGAAAGAAAGAGGAAGTGATGTCATAGGGCCTTTTGTATGCATTTTGACTTTTTTCTGATTGGTTGTTCTGTTTCTATGCTGCTGGAGATTTCAGTAAAGAAAGATATGCAAATATGAAGCCTCCTGTCATGAAGTAAAATTCCCATGTCTTAACTCATGCATTAGAGCAAGGAGAACTGGCTAGCTCTCCTACTGCTATTGAACATGCCTCAGTCACTTGCATTAGAAAACACTGAGCACTTTTCCACAAAATAGTGACACCACTGTAGTTGCTTACACATGAATGGGATGTCATAAGTGTTATTACAGGTCATGCCTATTATTTTTACTAGGAAAATAGTGGAATCTGCTGAGCATGATGACGAAGTATAGCGTAGGCACAAAACGTGTTAGCTCATGTTTGTGTTGTTTTCTCTGCTGTTGAAGCCGAAAACCCTGAACAGGATATAAGGGTATTTTACATTTCATAAATGCTGGTAAGAGTTGGAAGTCTACTTTTATTTTTGGTTTGTTGGTATTGAATGTTCATACAGAAATAGAACCTGCTACCAACTCCCACTTGAAGTGTTTTGCTCCAGGGCTTCATTTTTAATATAAACTGACCTCGAGCAGAATTGCGTGTTATTTATTGGTGCAATTTTTATACAATTTTATATAAGAACACTCATAGACTGACAGTTATTAAACTACATCTTTGTTACTATAAATTAAATGTACTTCCAGACCTGAGCTTCTCTTTGTGGAATATGCTCATCAAAATTCTTCTTTGTTGAAATACCCATCAAGGACATTTCTGGATTCAGCAGATTCTATTCTGCTACATTATTCTTAAAATACCATATTGTTCATAGTTTGTGCTAGTTTTTTTTTTTTTTCTTTCGAATTATTTTATTAAATGAAAGTGTACAACAGGTTAACTATACACACACACACACTGAAAATTTAAAAAGGAAAATAAAAAAGTCTCATATTACACCATGATCCTGGCTAGTTGCTTTTAAACTTTTCAGAAATCTTAAAAAAAAGTTTCACATGTTACCAGAAACTTAAATTGAACATTATCAAAAGGAATGCTGCTGCACTCATTACAAAGACCACTACAAATAAACATTAAAAAAAACTATGAAACTGTCTCAAAGGTGTATTTTACAGTCTTTCCTCCATTTTAAGGTAATGTATTTAAATATATTCCAATCCATTCACAAAATGGCTGTCTGCATCTGCTCTGGTGTCTTCTGTCATATCACTGCATGTTTTATGCATGACTGAGATAAAGTCTCCTTAACATTTTGTTATTTCGATAACCTGCTGCTGTATTACCTCTGGGCTCTCATCCTCTCCTATTTATACAGTGAAGCCCAGGAGGAAAATATGAAATTAATATCAACTTCTGCCTCCATATACACCACCGCTTCCTCCACTACCACTTCCTGGACCATAGTTGCCTCTACCATATGTTCCCCCCATGCTCCTGCTACCACCAAAGTTTCCACCACTCTTCTTGGGCCATAATTTGAAGACTGCTGGTTGTAGTTGCCAAATTCGTTGTAGTTACCACCTCCATAATTTCCTCCTCCATAATTGTCATATGCTCCACCATAGCCGCCTCCTTGATTCCCATAACCAGGGCCGCCACCATAACCACCTCTTCCACCTTCATAACCACCAAAGTTACCACCTCCTTGACCTCTGCCATATCCATTGTATCCATCTCCATACCCACGTCCTCCACCATAACCATCAGAGCCTCCTCTGAAGTTGTTTCCAGGTCCTGGTCCAAAGTTTCCACCACCTCATGCATCTCCAAAACCAAAGTTACCTCCTCTACCAGGTCGGGTACTCTGAACCTCTTGCATTTCTTGCCTAGTTAATGCCTTTCTTACTTCTGCATTGTGTCCATTGATTGTGTGGTATTTTTGCAAGACAATTTTGTCTACTGGATCATGGTCGTCAAATGTTACAAAGCCAAAGCCCCTCTTTTTGCCAGATTGTTTGTCTGTAATTATTTCAATGCTCTCAATTTTTCCATATTCTTCAAAGTCATCTCTAAGGTGATGTTCGTCTGTATCTTCCTTAATTCCACCAACAAATATTTTTTTAACTGTAACATGGGCACCAGGTTTAGAGGATTCCTCTCTCACAACAGCTCTTTTGGGCTCTACTACTCTGCCATCAATAGAATGTGACCGTGCTGACATTGAAGCGTCAACTTCATTCATAGAAGAAAATGTTACAAAGCCAAAGCCCCTGGATTGTTTACTTGCAGGATCTCTCATTACCACGCAGTCTGTAAGCTTTCCCCATTGTTCATAATATTTTCTTAAACTGTCTTCTGTTGTTTCAAAGCTGAGACCACCAATGAATCGCTTACGGAATTGTTCCTTTTCCCTCGCGCTTCGCTCGCAGCCAATGAAGCCATTGACTATTTTGTGTCCGGAATCCACCAGCTACTTATACCGCCGTTCAGAGTTGCGGCTGCGTGCCGGACATAGTTTGTGCTAGTTATGACCAGTTTAATGCTACGCAAGGTTTGTAGATAAGAGAGAAAAAATGTGCAAATTAAACACGTTGTGCAAGAGGGCTCTTTTTCTTTAATATGATTGCACAAACATCTCAACCTGTTTAATAACGGGCACCCCTTATTGCCTTATTATGCACACCTCTTTTATTCTGGAACCTTCTATTGTTATAATAAATTGGTACTCCTTTGAAACGTAACTCCTGTGTCTAAGTCTCTGTTTCATTGGGTACTATGAGGCCTCAGGTGGAGTACTACAGCTGGACAGATCATAATAAAGTCCATGGCAGAAGAGGGTGGACCCCTCCAGGTATAGTGATCACTAGGAAATGTTCTTACACTATAGTTAAGGAAATATTTTTTGAGAATGTGTTGAAATAAAAATCTTTGCTATCTAACCTGACCTGTAAATTATGGATCAAAAAACATTCTGGGTAGGGCAAGTATGCAGAGTCACATTATTAATGTGACAGTAACATGTGGCCAGAATTATACAAGATGTCCTCCTGTATACAGTATAACCTAAAGGGAAACTATAGTCACTAAAACAACTTTAGCTTAATGAAAGTTTATATAGCTTAGTTTTTCATCAACTAACACATCAGTGATTGTACTTGATCAACTATATACAATATCACTGTTTTAGATTTGCTAGCAGTCTAGCTAGAACAACATATTGATAGCAAACCTCATACTATGAGGGTTATTCACTAAATTGAAAATGTTAAGTGAATTTCAAACTTTGGGGTCAAAATATTTTATCTGTAAATCTCTAATTCAGCTATGCTTCCAGTTCGGCTACACTGGCCCTAAATCTGAAATTCACTTTGAATTCTCATTTTTATAAGTAACCCTGTATGTAAAATTGAGCCAATTTAAGATATAAAGTTGTCATTTGCTTTACTATTGTTATTACAGCAAAAAATGCAATCATTAAAATATGTGTTTGATTGCAAATCACATGCCCAGGGTGTATTCCGAAATCACGTTATACATTTTGTTTTTATTTTTATTATTTTGCAAAACATAAAATGTGAATTAAACAAAGTAATCTGACATATTTCCATACACTTTGCTGAGGTCTGGAAATCTGATAGCAACTAGGCGGAGATGACACACAGTCTGGGAGGAAAGGTAATCTATTAATAGAATAAGGGCAAATATCAATTAAAGTGAGAAGGTACTTCATTGGCTTAGCAAAATTGGAGGGCTTTTGAAGGTTGAAAAAGCTCCATAAGACATTAAATATCTAAAATCTCTATTGAGATCTAATTTGCAAATCATTACACATTACATATTGCCTTTATGTCTTAGTTAAACTAAAATATAGATGGATGTTACAATTGTCTGTGTTTTCAGTATATACACATGGAATGTATATGTTACGGTTGCTTTATTTTCTTATTTTATATATATATATATATATATATATATATATATAGCTACACACCTATATATTCATATATATTCATCTTTAACATGTTATTACTTAGCTTCCATTGCCTTTAGGAAGACAATAAATATAGTAAAACAGAGATAACAAGTTTAGTAGAAATACAGCTTAAATTTTGCAAAACATGTTTTAAATCTAATTTAAATTTACATTGTACTGCTCACAATGTCTGTGTTCTGCAATGTGTATTTTAACTTCCCTGAATATAATGTAATATAAAAAGTTCTTTCTAATCATTAAAGGCATAATGAATCTATTAAATATGCATTCCAGAACACATAGATATTGTGAGCAGTACAATGTAAACTTAAATTCTAACATTTAAAACCTGTTTAGCTAAATTTAAGCTGTATTTTTATTAAACATGTTATCTCTTTTTGCTATATTTATATTCTTCCTGAAGGCAATGGAAGCTAATTAATAACATGCTAAAGATGAAATATAGCTCATTTGAAGTAAAATAGTGTTCTAGGACACTTAGGTCATATTTTCTTGCAATAAATTATTTTAACACTAGCAGTTCAATGACACTATTATAAGCAGCAAAAGATTATTTTCATTTAATGTGCTTGAAACTGTAGATATTTGAAATGTGTATTTGACATTTTTATCTGAAATACACATTTTTATTTGAAATAACTTGTGAGCTAAAACTTGTTTCAGAAATAAGCAAAGCCTAACAGAAGAGCAAGCTAATTATGGTTTTGCTTGTTCTTAGTATTCTTATATCTGCTGCTCTGGGTTGTGTGAAGTTTGCAACCTACATGCACAATGCTAGGTGTAAGAACTTGCAGAGAAATGTCAAAGTTGCTGGTTTTTTCCACTGAAAACTATTGGGAATTTTTAAATTACATGTTGTAACCATGTAATTCTGACCATCTTGATTTAAGTTTAACCCCTTCCCGACCGAGGACGGTTCAGGACCGTCATCGGCATTTTTGGCTTGCCGACCGATGACGGTCCTGAACCGTCCTAACGGTCTGAGTTACTTACCTGATCACCGTCGTTCCCCCGGCGGCGATCAGCGTTGCTCCAGTTGTGGGGAGACTGCCTGCAGCCCAGACAGTCTCCCCACACTGAATTAGGACCCCTGTGGCCATGTGATCGCTTAACACAGCGATCACATGGTCACAATAGGTGTCCATGTGTCTGCCTGCAGGGGGACTGTCTGTGCTGACAGGCAGTCTCCCTGCTAGTGTAAAATCAATAAAAAAAAATAAAGTTAGTGTTAATAAAAAATAAAAAGAATTATTATATATGTGTATATATGATATATAGACATATATTATATCTATATAATATATGTCTATATATCATATATATAATGTCATACTAAGTGTCTTTTTATATTAATATGTACTTATATTAATATAAAAATACACTTATAATTAAATTACACACGTATATATATAATATATATATAATAACTATATATATTGTATATATATATTATTATAAAATATAAATAATAAGTAATTTAAATTAAATATTTTTTTTTAAATAATAATAAAAATTTAAAAAAAAATTATATATCTATATGAAATTTTATTCTAACTGTATTTTAAAATTAATATATATATATTTATATCAAAATACACTTAGAATGAATTTGCATATATATCTATGTATATATAAATAAATAAAAATAATACGAAATATACATATGTCCATATACAAAATTACATAAATAATTATATAAATATACACGTAGACTTAAACTATATAAATATGCATATATATTTAAATTCTACGTGCGTATTTATGTAATATTTTTACATAATTCAGTAATTTTATTGATTGCAATTTGAGGGACCTGCCTGCCAACCCAGGCCGAAATTCCAGAGAATTTAATTTGCTAGCATTGTATTTTACCCTGTAACGTTCTACGACACCCTAAAACCTGTACATGGGGGGTACTGTTTTACTCGGGAGACTTCGCTGAACACAAATATTAGTGATTCAAAACAGTAAAACATATCACAGCGATGATATTGTCAGTGAAAGTGACTTTTTTTGCATTTTTCACACACAAACAGCACTTTTACTGATGATATAATTGTTGTGATAGGTTTTCCAGTTTTTAAACACTAATATTTGTGTTCAGCGATGTCTCCCGAGTAAAACAGTACCCCCCATGTACAGGTTTTATAGCATTTTTGAAAGTTACAAGGTCAAATATATGGGTCAAATATTTTTACATTGAAAATGGCCAGGTTGGTTACGTTGCCTTTGAGAGCGTATGGTAGCCCAGGAATGAGAATTACCCCCATGATGGCATACCATTTGCAAAAGAAGACAACCCAAGGTATTGCAAATGGGGTATGTCCAGTCTTTTTTAGTAACCACTTGGTCACAAACACTGGCCAAAATTAGCGTTCAATTTAGTTTTTTTACTTTTTTCACACACAAACAAATATGAATGCTTACTTTGGCCAGTGTTTTCGACTAAGTGGCTACTAAAAAAGACTGGACATACCCCATATTGAATACCCTGGGTTGTCTACTTTAAAAAAATATGTACATGTGGGGTGTTATTCAGAGATTTATGAAAGATAATAGTGTTACAATGTCACTATTGATAAATTTAAAAAATGTATGTTTTGAAACCGCAATATCCTACTTGTACCTATAGCCCTATAACATGCAAAAAAAAGCAAAAAAGCACGTAAACACTAGGTATTTTTAAACTCAGGACAAAATTTTGAATCTATTTAGCAGTTTTTTTCATTCGCTTTTGTAGATGAGTAAAAGATTTTTCAAGTAAAAGTCAAAAAACATGTATTTTTTTAAATTTTTCATCATATTTTTTTATTTTTTTTAAATTAAAATACATGAGATTATATAAATAATGGTATGTAAAGAAAGCCCCTTTTGTCCTGAAAAAAACAATATATAATTTGTATGGGAACAGTAAATGAGAAAGCGGAAAATTACAGACAAACACAAACACCACAAAAGTGTAAAAATATGCCTGGTCGCAAATGTACAACATCGCAAAAACAGTCCAGTCCTTAAGGGGTTAATATAACTTTGAAAAAAAACATAATAAGTTGACTACTCAACAAGCTCTTAGCTATCATGGTAACCAACTTGGAATTATTTTTTAGATTAGGGATATCAGATCATATGAGCCAGATAACTTGACATTAACAAACAGATAAAAAAAAAAGCGCTAACAAACACCCTTAAAGTCTCAGCAAGTATATTATTAAACACAATTATAAAATGAGTGAAAGTCTCAAGGACCCCCCACTAACACCTTAAAACTGTCACTCTTCCCTCAAGCTCATACTATGCATGTCCAA